AACTACCCTTTTAAGTCCATCTCATCCAAAAGAAGGCAACTCAGTTTGAAACTAATTTATAAATAGTACCTAATAACTTGGAAGCTGGCACTGATACACGCAGGAACTTCAACTAAATGCTGGAGAGATTGTACCACCACAGGAACATACCTCCACATGAGGTGGGAATGCCTCCAAATTCAACCCTTTGGAACATCAGTCCTTCAAGAAACCTGTAAAATAACAAAGCAGGTACTAGAAGCAACTCCAGAACTGCCCTTTTAAATATTTTTCAAGACAACAATGCACACTCTGATGACAAAGAGCTCATAAGCCACTTACTCTCAGCAGCTAGGAGTTTCATAACTAGACACTGGAGGGACCTGTCAGGAGTAAACATGGAGCACTGGTACCAAATTGTATGGGAAACAACCCTACTAGGAAAGCTAACCAACAAATTGAAGCTAACCAGGGGACAAACAAAAGAGGATGCCTTCACCCTGTTTTTTGTTGTTGTTGTTTAGTCGTTTAGTAAGTATTGGAGCCTCAGTTTCAGGATCTGTCCTTCCAGTGAGCACTCAGGACTGATTTCCTTAAGGATAGATAGGTTTGATCTTCTTTCAGTCCATGGGACTCTCAAGAGTCTCCTCCAGCACCATAATTCAAAAGCATCAATTCTTCGGTAATCAGCCTTCTCACCCTGGTATAGCTCCCCTTTATTACATATACAGCCCAAGGAGGCAACAATGTAAACGCCCCAACAGCATACAGATCAAAGTGATTAACCAGATCCAACAACCCCACCCCTTCAAACAAACAAACAAAACCCGCTGCAATTGACTAAATGCAACCAACTAAGCTGTGGATTCTCCAGTCTCTCCCACCGCCTTCAAAGGAACAAACAGACAAATGAAGGACCTATCTTCACAATGCTGACACAAAAACTGCACATATACTAAGCAAAAGAATGAACGTTTATCTCCTCCTTTTTTCTCCCCCCTCCAATTATTTCCCCCCACAACCTCACAATGTGTATGACAGCAGTGTCTCACACTAACTGTAACTGACCTGTAGAAAGGACTCTGTGAATTGAAAACGGAAACATTGCATGTACCCTTGTTAACTATGGAAATCCTTTAATACAAACATTTTTTTTAAAGGCTATGTTGCTAAACTCTGCTACTAGTCCAGGCAGTGCCAGCTCTTAGTTTTGCAACATTGTAATTGAGATATTGAGACATGACCAGCTATGTCATCATTAGCTTGCCTTTGGCCTATTAAATGCTACAAATTGCAAACTTTATAATACAGTACCTTGTTTGACTTCACAAATTCTGAAAGATTAAAAAGCTGACTTTTCACCAGTTGAAAACCAATTTTTTTATTCCTTATTTTAAGAATTTGTAAGCTGTTTAGTATAAACTATCTAAGCAATGAACAAGAGTATACAAAAATACATAAAATATAATCAATAATGAAGCAGAATGACAAAACATAATAAAAATCCATCATAGATGTTATCAGCTGCAAACTAAAACAATAATTCAGCTTGGAAAGGGCCAAGTGGGGAGAAAAAAAGATAAATTCCGTAATTCTGGTGACACCATACTGAACACATGGCACTGCCAGGAAGGCCTCACCAGCTGAGTGCAGAGACAAGTACCCTGGTTTTTATACAGAGATACTGCAAGGATTTATTTTTATTTCCTTTGAGTTCTGAGGTTGCTCATCATGTACAGAGCACCTGAAAACAAGTACGTAAGCAAAATTTTTGGAAAATTGCCACTCAGAGCAGGGTGTGGTGAAAGTTGATATCTTTAATGTGCACTGCCAAAAGGCTAGGGTGTGACCTGGAACAGAAGGTGAGGGGAGACAGAAACCCTTGTTAATTTGTTGAACAAATCTTTATGGGGAAGGGGTTTAACCTTAAAGTGCTGCATCATGTTGATGTGGAATATAATACTCCCTGAAACATTTTCATGAGCCAAAGGCAGAATTTACAGCAAGGAAGCATTACAGCCATAAAAACAATGATGATGGCTTGTCATCTTTTATATAATACAATTAAGCAATACTTCATTAGGGCTCACATGGGGGTGTTTTCTGGCAGATCACAAATCTTCATAGAAATAAGTTAACCTAACTGTGTCTTGGGACGTGGGTGGCGCTGTGGATAAAACCTCAGCACCTAGGACTTGCCGATCGCATGGTCGGCGGTTCGAATCCCCGCGGCGGGGTGCGCTCCCGTCGTTCGCTCCCAGCGCCTGCCAACCTAGCAGTTCGAAAGCACCTCCGGGTGCAAGTAGATAAATAGGGACCGCTTACCAGCGGGAAGGTAAACGGCGTTCCGTGTGTGCTGCGCTGGCTCGCCAGATGCAGCTTGTCACGCTGGCCACGCTGGCCACGTGACCCGGAAGTGTCTGCGGACAGCGCTGGCTCCCGGCCTATAGAGTGAGATGAACGCACAACCCTAGAGTCTGGCAAGACTGGCCCGAACGGGCAGGGGTACCTTTACCTTTACCTTTTAACTGTGTCTTGGTGCCGTCGGTTGATACCAAAAGCTACCCATATAGACTTCAGCAGTAGAGAAATCTGCAGTCATTTACATTGACTTGCAGCAAAGGGTACCTGATGGCTTTGGATCTGTGTGTGTTAATGTGGATCTGCCCCCATAATAACTGAGGGAGTGAGATATAAAGTGCAAAAGGCTAACATTGGCACAGAGTGCTATTCACGCCCCTCCTTCAGCCCCCTCAAGGTGATTTTCTTCAGACTTGGATAATTTCCTGTATTCTTAGTTCTTTTTTTGGGGGGGGGAGACCTTAGACAGTAGATGGAAGGCGAGATAAAAGTGGCATAAGTAGAGAAAGCTTAGCACCTCAATCTTTGTGTTCCTTTTGTGGTTTTGATTCCATACCTGCCCATTGTATTACATATAATTGAGGCAGGTTGTCATTTAAAGCCGTGTATCTTCTGTCATCAAGTGTAGTTGGGCCCTGAACTTTGTCATTAGTAAGATAACACGTGATACAGAGCAGGATTGTTAATTACCTCTTCCCTGTGGTAAAGGAGTTGGGTGTATGTGTGCCTGAGACGCAAATCAAACCGAGACTTCTCTTTAAATTGCAACACCTAAACAGACCCTGAAGGGTTTCCAAAAGTGGCTAATGCTGCCTTTGAATATAGGCATGAGATCTTCATTCCAGGTCCTATTTATGCCTGTGTAATGTGTTTACTGAAAAAGATACCATTCTTTTGTTCAACCTTAAGCAATAGCATTCTGCTGACTCAGCCAGTGTTTACTTGAGTGATTTGTAATAGATTTGTATATCTGATATTACTAACATTTTTACTTTGTGTTTTGATATCCTGCCTGGTAGCTGGTCTTTCCTTAATGAGGAGATGTAATTTCAGAAGTATATAGCTTATTATTCCTATATGCATACACACAGAGTGATATCTAAAGAGAGAGATGCCTAAAGACACTTCACAGACCACCTGTAGCTCTGTGTTACGCAAATCCCACTTCGTGTTATTTAGAAACACTTAAGGTTAAATATTAAACAAAGGTCATTTTGATGATGAGTAAGATTTGTTAAACATTCAGCAAAATGATTGCACGGGTTTAACTTTGTGACCATGCCCTCTATAAGCTTTCTGCTTGAAATGGAATGCAGGTCATTACTTGTGAGTTGATCTACTGGCCAGTAGGCAACCTAGCCTATTGTTTAAATCTGGAAACCTTCAAGTCAGTTTTACTCCTGAAAGAAATGAAATGGGAATAAATTAGGTGAAAACTCTTCCTGCTGTGTATTTCTTTCTCCTTCCCATTTTGTTTTCCTGAGCTGTTTTCAGTTGCCGTTGAAAACTCATTGAGAATGGGCTTAGATGGGCCTCTTCAGGCAGAGATGATTACTTCATTACTGCTGAGGCCTGTTGGCATAAAACCTCAAAGGCCCTGCCATTAGCTGTCCAAGGTTACACATTGTGATAAGATGGAACTTGCAATATGACTGAGAGACAGTATTGGACTGAAACCTGGGAGACTGGGGTTGTAACCGCCACTCAGCCTTGAAGCTCACTGCATGACCTTGATCCAGTCATTGCCTCTCAGCCTATCCTACCACATAGTGAGACAACACATGTGCACCTTGAGTTCCATGGAAGAGAGATGAGATATGAATGTCATAAAATGTGTGAATGAATGGCGTTGTCTTTGGATCAAAAAGGACATGTGGGAATGAGCATTGATTTGCTGGATCAAATTAAGGACCAACTGATTCACAATGCCACCCCCTCCCAGTTGCAGCCAGCAGCTCACAGACCTAAGGCTTCACATGCCCCTAATGGATGGATAATAATTTCTCATTATAGCATATATCAAGACTATTCAATGCAGGCATTGCTAAGTATATTATATTCTTGTTTTGGCTATCCCTTATATCTGCTCCAGTACAACTATGCCTTTCCCTACTCCAAGCCTTTCATTGTGGCTGGCAAAGTGTGGTCTCCCTTATGCATCCAGATTAGTGTGTGGTTATTTCCATTGTAGCAGATTTAATTAACGTTGTTTCCCAGGAAATGTGTGAATTGTTTTGCAACCTTAGGCTTATATCTGATTGGATTTGGAAAACTTTATCTTTTTATCACTTGAAATAATTCTGTACAAATCCTGTGCTGTGAACTGAGCAGATTTAGGGAGTGTATGCATAGCAAAAAAGAAATAATGTGTTGATCAAAATTCCTGTTAAGAAAACAGAGTTAACTTCCTATATTTAACAGCTGGCATGAAAGAATTTTATGCTGTGCACTAAACATCCACAGGCTGATACCATTAAGTGATACTACAGACTTAAAACAGCTGCTTTTTCTCCTTTTCTTAGTACCTCTGTTTAATAGTGTGTGTTCATATGTAATTGAAAAATCTATTTTGAAAGCTGAGAAATTTTCGTATGTGACCTTCCTTTGTTTATGTCTTGTTCTAATCATTTTGTAAAAACAGCTATGTTTTCTGATTTCAGAACAAAGCTGAACTATAATCCTCCAAAGGATGATGGCTCCACATATAAAATTGAACTTGAAGGGATATCTGTTGATATTATGAAAGAGATTTTGGACTACATCTTCAGTGGTCAGGTTTGTGTTTCCAAGGTTATTCCTACATATCTCTGTATGTCAGTTCTAGTCATAATCTACACCTTCAAAAAACCCTTTGAATAGAATGGGCAGAAAGTAGATTGAGGCAGGACGTATTATCTGAGTGGCTAGTCAGAGTAGCCAAAGTAAAAAAAATTCTCATGCAAGTGCAGCTTGAGCTTGAGCTGCTCTAACAGAAAGAGTTCTTTATATCGCCAGCTTCAGTCCAAGCTTTGGGGTTTGCTGATACCAGTGGGGCTTCCTGTAAACTCCATTCAGCAGATCAGTGCTAATAACAAGCCCTGCTTTGGGCAGAGATGATCTGTGCTACAAAGTTCCTAATTGCCACTGATCCCAAATAACACAGCCAATCCCATGGGGTTTACTTTCACTGCCAATCAGCCACATCGATAACAAGCCTCACTAGCAGTTAGGAGGACACTTCAAGGCTCCTGGTGATTTCTCTGCATCTGCCTCTCTCCCTGCACCACACCTAATGTCAAATATGGTGGGTGTTGTTTGGGGAAAATAGCCTTGCAGGCCAAATTGTTAACCAAATCGTCAGGCCTAATTTGGTCCACAGGCCAGAGGTTCCATACTCCTGAAGTAGACTTGTAGTGGATTGTAGACCAGTTTCCCATGAACCATCTCATCCCTGTTGCTTGCTGAGATTCTTGCAAAGTTTGCTAAATGAGGTGGAAGCTGGTCTGATCCTTACGTTATTTATCAAGAGGGCACATTGCTTTGTTTTAACAGTTGAGAGATTGTGAACATGATCTTGCATACAGTAAAAGCACAAGAAGACTGCTGGATGAGACCACGGGTCCAACTAATGTAACATCTTGTTTCTCGTAGTGGCTAGCTAGAAGCTTTTAGGAAGTCCAAATCCTGGGTGTGAATGCAAATGCCTTCTCATGTTTCTTCCCCCGTGACTAGTATGCAAAAGTATACCACCTATCAACCTGCAGGTTTCGTTTAGGTGTTATGGCTAGTGTCTTTTGACAGACATATCCTCCATGAACATTTCTGATCCCCGTCTTAAAGTCATGTAAGCAAGTGGCTTTCACCACATATTGCAGCAAGCAAATTCCAGTATCATATTGAAGTCATCCTAACTCTGACTCCAGGAGTCACTTTATATCAGAGATGATCAATATGTAAATGTGTGACAAGTGACACAGGCAGTATACTAGAGGTGGAGGAAAGAAGGCCCATGGCATAAGTACAGCATACACTTCAACTTCCCTCTCCAGTGCTGTGCTGTTACCTTCTCACTAAAGTAGAGGCAAAACTCCACTAAGCTACAAAGGGGAAAGACAGTTAGTTGCAGTAATGGACACTAGTGCTGCACTTTCATACTTGAAACTGAGCTAGTTGTAATTTCCTCTCCTCCAAAATAAACCTTTTGCAGATCAAGCTAAGTGAAGACACCATCCAGGACGTTGTGCAGGCTGCTGATTTATTGCTGCTTACAGACCTGAAAACTCTGTGCTGTGAGTTTCTGGAAGGTTGCATTGCTGCTGAGAACTGTATTGGAATCCGGGACTTTGCACTACACTATTGTCTGCGTCATGTTCATTATCTTGCCTCCGAATATCTGGAAACACACTTCCGGGATGTTAGCAGTACGGAGGAGTTTCTGGAACTGAGTCCTCAGAAAGCAAAAGAAGTGCTGTCCTTGGAGAAGCTGAATGTTGGGAATGAAAGACATGTTTTTGAAGCAGTTATTAGATGGATCTCCCATGACCCTGAGTTAAGAAAGGTACAGAATTTGAAGTTATATAATGCTGCTTCAGAAAAAATAATCAGCACTTCATTGTACTTGGGTGCTTCAAATTGCAATGCATTGTGGGATTTGGGTCCATGTTGTAGACTACAGATGTTACCAGCATCATTCTGTCTGTACCCAGACATTCTGCACTAAGAAAAGCTGAATTCTGCAGCATATATAGATTAAGCTGGCCAAAGAACTTTACATGTTTTATTTACATTAATTTCCTTAATTCATTCTACATTTTACTAATTTGTATAATTCTAGCAATGCCTAGTCATAGAGAGGAGCAAGTTGCTGCATAGTGGACTCCTGTCCTGCCCCAACTATTCAGCTGCCCCTTGGGATTCTGAGATGTAGGAAGGTATTCTTCACTCACTTTCTAGCCTATTTTCTCAGCCATAAGGACTATGAACTTGTTTTAAAATGAAAAATTAGATTAAAGGAAGCTGATTTGTGCACCTAGTACCATATTATGTGCTTCTGCAGAATTGCAAAATAGAGACAGCCCTCCATATTACCAAAATAATGCATATGTGGTAGCATTTTTCATGTCAGTGCTTCCTCTTCCAAGTCAGTATATCCTGGTGTTGTATAAGCAGGGATTCTGCGAAATAAGCTTTCCATAAAGCCATGTGCTTGTGTGACTGTTTTATGATTCGGCTTGTTTGTTTGCCTGAAATATCTTTCTGCCTCTTCAGGTTCACATGAAGGATGTAATGTCAGCTGTGTGGGTATCTGGGCTAGATGCTACCTACTTGCGTGAGCAAATGATGAATGACCCACTGGTACGGGAGATTGTCAAAGAATGTAGCAACATTCCACTCACTCCGCCACAGCAGGGGGAGGCAATGCTAGCATCTTTTAAACCCAGAGGATACTCAGAGTGCATTGTCACTGTTGGTGGTGAAGAAAGAGTGTAAGTGGCTCAGGCATGCTATTTCAGATCTCAGAAGTGGATGGGGGTTGGAGAGGGATGAAACTCGAGTAAGTGTCCTATTGTTGGTCATATTTGAGATTAAGCTGCAAAACTACATTGTGCTTTATTTTTTCTTGTATGCCTCATAACTATGGGTTGTATCCAAAGATGCACTTCCATTTGTGGGAGGTTTCTTCTGTTCACCAAAAGGGTAGTTTTGCGCTTGGACCAAAGTGTTGCACAAGGAAAATAAATAAACCAATTCCAGATATTTTCTTCTGTTGTGCCACCTCTTGCACAAGTGGAAGCATGAAAACTACTCTAAAGCCTACCTCCTACAGTGCCATGTGCACTCTTACGCAAGTTAATGTGCAAATGTTTGTACAATAGGGCTAGCAGCTATTATCCTTCTGCCCACTGTTCCTTGAATCCTGCCCATTAGCAGTGTTACCAGTGCAAGGAAACAGGCATTTTTCTTCTGAAGCAAAGGTTTATGTGCCTTTGACATGCATACTACACATACTACCATTTAATTGTTTATAACATTCATTCAACATGAGGAACTTGTAAACTGGCCAAAGACAGAGGTATGTGAGCTGAAAAACATGGAAGGTGACCGACTTATTCAGAGTTCATTTATTTGTACAAATTATTGTCTAAGTCACCAATGTGTGAAGCCCTGTGGAAAACCACCTCCTCCAAACACCAAGAGGGAACAAATCATGTTTTATTTCTATAGGAATACTGCATAACCCATATCTCACCATGCTGGAGTACCAGATAACCTTGCAACCATGTCTACAAAAACTGCCTGCTCACTGTACTTGTATGTACAGTAGCCTAAAAGAGAGAAGGGAAATGTGCAGCTTCTGTGACTTGTTGCTTAGAGGCATTTGTCACTCAACACAAGTGACTAGGCAAGTGTCTCTCAACAAGCCTGGTCTAAACACACATGCTTGGCAGAATAGAAATGCCAGGCCATAACATCTAGCTCAGTATTGTCTGACAGTGGTCCTCCAGGGTTTCTGACTGCGGACATTCCCAGCCGGGCCTGGAAGTGCCAAGGATTGAATTTGCAACATCTGCGTGCAACCTAGGTGCTTTACCACTGAGCTCTAGAGCCTTTCTCCTGACTTGCCTGACCTATTGTGCCACCCTCCTGCCACACACACAAAAAGGATTTAAGTCTCAAACAAAAGTCAGTATAAAGTATACAAACAGAATGGATGCTTCTACACTGAAGTAGAAACCCCATCTCCTCTGCATTGTTGGGTTCTAATCAAGATTTGCTGTATGGGCAAGGTTGCTGAGTTAATTTATCCTTTTTCTTCTGTTCAGATCCCGGAAACCATCAGCAGTAATGAGGTGTATGTGCCCTCTTTATGATCCTAACAGACAGCTATGGATAGAACTGGCTCCTTTAAGTACACCTAGGATAAATCATGGTGTGCTTTCAGCAGGTAGGAAAGTTATCTGTTTCTTTAGTAGGAGAATACACGGCTAAATCTGCTAACTCAGGGGTCAGCAAACTTTTTCAGCAGGGGGCCGATCCACTGTCCCTCAGATCTTGGGGGCCAGACTATATTTTTGGGGGGGGGAAATGAACAAATTCCTATTCCTCACAGATAACCCAGAGATGCATTTTAAATAAAAGTACACATTCTACTCATGTAAAAACACCAGGCAGGCTCCACAAATAACCCAGGGATGCATTTTAAATAAAAGGACACATTCTACTCATGTAAAAACTCACTGATTCCTGGACCATCTGTGGGCTGGATTTAGAAGGTAACTGGGCTGAATCTGGCCCCGAGGCCTTAGTTTGCCTACCAATGTGTTAACTGTTTTCAAAGCCAATGTTGTTTGTTTGTTTCTTTTGCTTCTTTGATCACAGCCTTGGAGAATATTAACCTGTGAAATACTCAAGAAAGTTCTCAAGTATTTTGGAGGACAACCAAAGGGTGGAGACTCATTTAGAGTCAAGATTGGCAACATATTTGGTAGATCCTGCATCTGTCGTTTGTCCCCCCACCGCCACCCCCAAAGCTCAGGGAACTTTCCATGAGAAACAAAGTGTCACCACCAAAAGATAACATTGGCAAAACAACAGCCACAACATATGTGTATCAACTTCTTTGGAACTTCCTCATATAGTATATACTGTATACAAATAAAATAAAATTTGACAAACTTGGCAATAGGAAAACTACACCCATTCCAGACTTTCTGTGTTGCATCACATATTCAAGTATCGATAGATTTTGTAAGAAAGAATTTAATCAGTTTAAAATTGGTATCAAAACCCATGGCTTTGAAGTATTCTTATAAGCTTTGAACTGCTGTTCGGTATCTAGTAGAAACTTGTTAAACATGTTCTTACAAGAACGTTCTGCTTTAAAACAACTGGAATCTTGCTCTGTGTTATCTCCTAAATGAAAGAATAAAACTGTTCCCAGTATAACATTTTTATTTTTATATCTTTATTGGAATATAATTGCCACAAACTAGTGTTCTAGAATAAATAAAACATCAAGCCATCTTTCACCTGTTGCAATACATATATTATAAGGTATAAAGGCTAAGCAGCAAAAAGCAAGAAATATCAACACTGATTTGGACCTGTAAGTGCCCTAATTCTGGATACCTGATAAAAGATCATGATGGTCATTTGTGATTATGGCTTCCTGGAACCTCCATGTTCCAAGGCAGTATGAATACTCATTGGTGGAAAGCAACCACGGAAGAGGGCTATGGCCTTCCATGTCCTGTTTGTGGGCATCTGTGGGTGATAGACCTCTGGTCTGATCCAGCTAGGCTCCTAGTTCTCAAGAATACCAGCTAGATGTGCCACCAGTGCAACTTGCATTTCCAAATCATTTTGTGGTCTGTTTTTCAGAAGGGTTCCTGTTTGTACTTGGAGGTCAAGATGAAGATAAAGTCACTTTAAACTCTGGAGAAAAGTATGATCCAGATACCAATTCATGGAGTTCTTTACCACCAATGAATGAGGCAAGTCTGCCTTTTTGTTAGCCGTCACCCCACCCACCCCAATTTCTGCAGTTTTGTTCTGATCAGATCTTTGGATATCCATTTATGTTGGTTAACAAAAACTAGGATAGTTATTTCTGTTAAATTCTTCAGTTTCTTTTGTAAGTGAATTTAATAAATGCTCCTCTACTTATTTCCAATAGGCACGGCACAACTTTGGCTTGGTAGAGATTGATGGAGTGCTGTATGTTCTGGGAGGCGAGGATGGAGAACGGGAACTCATCTCTATGGAGTCCTATGACATTTATAATAGGACTTGGACGAAGCAACCGGACTTGACAATGATTAGGAAGGTAGGAACTAAGCAAAAACAGGATGCTATTTTTCAAACTGTTTCTAAACTGCTGCATTTGGTTTAATGTTGCTTGACTTCTGAGCTGCTCTTTTCTACACTTCTTACTCGTGTTCCTAAGTTCAGAAAGGTGGCTAAATCTCAAGCTGATACAGAGCAAGGTTGAATTCCAGAAGAGCAATCTTGAGCCAGATAATGGCTCAAAACACTTACCTCATCAACTGTTGTATTTTCTGTTTAAATTGCATTAGGAACAGTAAACTTATTATCTGTTGGTTAATGTGTGAGAGAACTCCTCCCCCCCCCCCCAGATTTTGATTTTAAAGGGCTCGTGCTTCACTTTATTTGTTTTCTTACTATTATTACTGTCTGACATATACATTAACCAGATGACAAACGGTGCATGATAGCTTTGGATTTTGCTTTTTAAAGATTGGTTGCTATGCGGCTATGAAAAAGAAGATCTATGCAATGGGCGGGGGTTCGTATGGCAAGCTTTTTGAGTCCGTTGAATGTTACGACCCAAGGATCCAGCAGTGGACAGCTATCTGTCCGCTAAAAGAGAGGAGGTTAGTAAATTACTAGTAACACGTATCATTGCCTTAATCCTGCATACCATCCAGTGCTCCACAGGTGAAAGTAGAGGAATGTATATGTGTTTATAAACCACCCTTATTTCTTGCAGCAAGGATCATTTCCTGAGATGCTACATCTCCCCAATTGCTGAAGGCTCCTCCTCTTTACATGGTCTACATAACTGACCAAAGTAGTGTTGTTGGTGTTGTTATTGCTGTGGTTATTAATTTAAATTTATATGCTGTCCTTCATCAAAAGACTACAGGGTAGTTTACAACATGGAATGCAAATGAAAGTACATAACATGATAGCTATACAATGTGAAAATCAAAACAATTATATAAATTATTACAATGAGAAATATGTAATAAAATACATCATAAGAACTAATGGATTTCAGAGTGTAAGCTGCAACTCAAAACACTGTCTATTGTTAGGCAGTTATGGTTGCAGATTTTGTTTGTGGGATGTTGTCTTTAGTTTGTGCAGTTGATCGTTCCCTTTTTGGAAAGCTGAATTGCATTTTTGTAAATAATTCTTAGTGTTTAAGTTGCTGCTACCAAGGGAGGAACTTGTTAGGTCCCAGGAGTTACGGTAGGTTTCAGTGGATATGAGATTCATAGACAGATGAACAATGGGGATGGCAAGGCAGCTTAGAAACAAATAGTTATACTTTTCTAAACAATCAATAAACTTACAAGATTAAAATAATGGTGATGAGCAAGTGTGAAAGGCTTGTCAGCTCAGGTAGCTGATGTTGTGGTTTTTACATGTGTGTGATACTGAGATCATACTGTCCTCTTTGGTTTTCATGCCTTCACCTATACAGCATGTATTACAATGGTACCTCGGGTTACAAACTTAATTCGTTCCGGAGGTCTGTTCTTAACCCGAATCCGTTCTTAAACTGAGGTGCGTTTTCAGTAATGGTGACTCCCGCTGCTGCCACCGCCGTGCGATTTCCGTTCTCAAACCTGGGGCAAAGTTTGTAACCCGAGGTACTACTTCCGGGTTAGCGAAGTTTGTAACCTGAGGTGTTTGTAACCTGAGGTACCACTGTATTTTCCTTGACTTCATGTTGCTTTTATTTTACGAGTGACGGGGTCTCTCTTTTTTATAGCATATATCTCACTACATTAGGCCATAGTTTGTTTGTTTTAAATCACTCCAAATGTTAGTAGCTCTGTCAAATTCTGCTTAATGTCAAGAGAGCAGGAATTCTGAATTAACCTGGACACCCAAGATTCCTCTTACATCTTTTTTTTTTAAGGTTTGGGGCTGTGGCCTGTGGAGTTGCTTCAGAACTCTATGTCTTCGGTGGAGTGAGAAGTCGTGATGACAATCAATCCAGTGAGATGGTGACGTGTAAATCAGAATTCTATCACGATGAGTTTAAAAGGTAACAACTGCTAAGATAGCGCACTAACATGATCTTACAGCCTCTAAAATAGCTGTTGACCTTTTTATCACTTACAGTTTAATTGAATAGTTGTAATGCAACTGCACATGCAGAGGTGCCCTGTAGAGGCTGTCTTTTTCTGAGTCTAGCCCAGCGCAGTCTGCTCTGATTGAGAATTTGTAGAGATGCTGCCAGACTCAGATATTTTCCAACGCTGAGTGTAACCTGATATTATTTAGCTTGAAATTCCAGCCAGGGACTGTCTGCATGCAGTACATGGGCTCCAATGCTGAGTTATGGTCTCTTCCCTTTTGGGGAAAAAAATAAAATATATGCCCTGTTGCATGAGTAAATCTAACCCCTGGCATTTTTTCCAGATAGAATAATAGATTTATTTTTATGAAGTATTAGTGTATGCCAGCCTTGTTTGGTTTTTCATTTAAATCTTAACTTGACCTGTAAGCTGCGTCTGCATAGTTTTCATGAGAACTGGTTGAAAGTTCTTGCTTCTGTGGGTTATGCCTGAAATAATAAGCAAGACTGAATACTTAACAGTGGTGCCATACTAATTGTGTAATGTTAATCTTCCTGTTCTGGGAGCATGTCTGCATTCAATAAATCTTTCTATACATGTGGTTCCACTTGTTTACATCTGTTAACCAGAAGATGGTGCTATTTTACAAGGATGGACTGTTTTTTCTATCTCTCTCTCTCTCTCTTTTCTCTTGTTATAACTATGTGCCAGACAACCATTTTTGTGTCCCTGCTTTCTTCCTATACTGGGACTGCAAGCTGCTCTTTTGTTCGTGCACATCTTTAAAGTTACTCAAGCAACTCTGTGCTCTTAAACACATGCCAGCAAACTTGCTAGATGTGAATACAGCAGAGGAGGAAGAGTGGCTCAACAGTGAGGATTCGAAACATTGCAAGAAATTAATGAATACAAATATTTGAACCATATATTTAAATTTTGAGTTGCTGGTCATACTAGCACAGCATTGTCTGCTCTGACAGGTGGCAGCTCTCAGGTGGAGTTGTCATACCACCTAAAATCCTTTCATTTGAAGATGAGATTGCACCTAGGACCTTCAGAATCCACTGAGTAATGAAGCCTCCCATCATGTAAAGGTTGACGCCTGTTAGATAAGATGCTAATATTTGCACTAAAAAAATGGAGCACTGACAAGGGCAGGACACAGGAAACAGTGTACATTTCAGGTACTAATTGTACAAAAGACAGCTTGTATGGACATTTTGACATCCACCTGCTTTATTCACGAAAAGGATTCTGGTATGCATTCAAGACCCAACCTAGATGAGAAGGGAGGTAGGCCTCGAGGTGTAACACAACATCAGGTTAGAAATCCTATTCTTTAGATATCCGTGGACTTTCATTCATTTTCTTGCCCGGGGTGAGTAAATTTGTGAGGCGAATATCTTTGGCATCTGTGTGTCTCTTGTTGCAAAAAGCCCTCTACAAATTATACTTTAAAGGTTGCCTTTTCTTGCAGGTGGATCTACTTGAATGATCAGAACTTATGCATCCCAGCCAGTTCTTCGTTTGTGTATGGAGCTGTGCCCATTGGGGCTAGTATCTATGTGATTGGGGATCTTGATACAGGTTAGAGTCTAAACAATATATCTTGTGTGTTTTTCCCCCTTTATTGTATGTATTTGTTTCTCAGAGGACATACTGTAAGGCAGAGGGAGCTAATGTGCTCCTCAAGAGTTTGGCTACTTACATTTTTGGAGTACTGATAGTATGAAACTCTTTGGTGATTCCATGTTTAATTCTTTAGTTCTTTTGTAACTTGTTCCACTTGCTTAAAATTAAATCCCACACTTAAAATATATAAGGCAGATTAGGGGAGGAGACTTCATTCATCACATTTCTATCTGAGTGCCTTTTGGAGAGCAACCATGCTAAGTGTTTCACTTTAATGAACATTGTTGATGTGAAATTATAGCTGGGAAAGCAAATTATCTTGTTTTCACTTATTTAAAATAAGTATAACCTAGCTTTCTTTCTTTCTATTCTATCATGCATTTTGTTCTAATAAGTTTGACTTGTTCAACCAAACTGAGGGTAATTCACTTTTGCCACCGATCCCTGTCTCTTTGAAAAAAGTAGCCATGTTAGTTCACTTCAGTAAAAATGACCATTCTGTGACATCTTAAGTAATTTGTTATGTAATTTGTCACTTGCAGTTCACAAAAACTCATGTGATAAAGTTGACTCTGGTCAATGAAAACTCATTGCACAATAACGCATATTCTGGGATTTGAAAGCACCATGTACTACTTGAATTGCATTTATCTGCCTTGTTCATTTATCTGTTTTGGCCAAGGCCTTTTTTTGTATATTCAGAGCAGTTAATCTTGCCAAAGGATTAGGATATCGGCATTCTCTCATCAGCTTGGCAAGTGAGTCAACATAGGCTCCAAAAAACCATCTGTTGGTCATGTTCAGCCTTTACTCATCCATCCAGTGTTTTCCTCACATCTTTAAAAACAGTCACTGAAAACTAGGACATAAAAGGAAATTTTGAAGCCTTCTGCAGTATCACTGCTAAACCACTTGTCTGGCTTCTTCCTAAAAGACAAGCCCAAATGTCATCTCAAGAGCCAAAGGTGTCCATTAATGCTGCATTTGTTGCATCTTAGCCTTTTAACATTTTGCTATAAAACCTTTTCAGACCTGTGCTATACAAACTTGAATTGGGGGGGGGGGTTGTTCTTAGGATTTGAAAAGTTTATATGTTGCTAGCTCCTGTTCTTAAATGGTCCATCATTGAAATACCACATTCTGTATTCTCAAATATCATTTTACAACTAACAACTATCTCTTTCTTGGTGTGTTTGGGGCACAGCAAGTAGGGGAGGGGGTTGGGTAAAGGAAATAAATATATCCTTAATCTGCATATTTGCAATAGAGCCTTCCCATATAATAACAGTGTGAGATGCAAAATGCATTTCTTTTTGAACTTGGTATTGCTTTGCATTTTTCTAAAGTGAGGGAAACCCAGATCTGCAACAGGTTTCTATTTCGAATTCCACTGATGCTATTGAGTAAATCTTTCCCCATATGCTGTTTAAATCCTAAAGCTAAAAATATATTTCCTAATAGGTACCAATTACGATTATGTTCGAGAATTTAAAAGAAGCACCGGAACTTGGCACCATACTAAGCCACTCTTTCCATCGGATCTTCGCCGTACTGGATGTGCAGCTTTGCGTATAGCAAACTGCAAGCTTTTCCGGCTCCAGCTCCAGCAAGGATTGTTCCGCATCCGTGTTCCTTCTCCTTGAGAGAACTTCAGAAAACAGAGGAGATGGGAATAATTTGAGAGGCACTCCACCATAACAATATATCTTTATATAAAGGAGAAACAAACATCTTGCGGCAGAAACTTTAACTGTATGCTCGGCTTTGGTATGGTATCTGTCCTGTTTTTTTAACTGCTTAAATGCTTAAGCCTCAGCATTTGCTTTGGGGCAAGTCATTGTACATTGAGAAACATGGTTGAGGAGGTATCTTAAGTTCAGTTTATCTAAAGATACTAAACCATGCTATTGAAGCAGTTCCTTTGCTTCAAACCAGGAGGAGTGGATTAAAAAAAATGAAACCTATTGAAATTGGGACGGTGGGGGAATCAGTAAGGGACATTTTCATCAAGGAGATTTGTTACAAATAACTTTGCTGTGTTGACATTAGATGACATTGATAACACAGGAAATCCTGTATGAAAACCGATCTCACTAGTATGCCAAAAGAGACTGTTAACTCTACTGTGGAGAAAGATGGGCAGTTGCACCTTTTACTTCAAGGCCTTCCTGACAATTTAAGGCCTGTGCCTGAAAGGATAGAATTGTACATATGTCACTTTTCCGTGTGTTTTCACTCCTAATAATCTTTTTAAAAACATACCAGTATGTTTAAAATGGACTAAACTGAGCTAAAGATTTCAGTACAGTAGAGAACTGAGAGTGACACAGATTTTTTTGTAAATCTTGTGTACGTCAAATGATCTAAAATGGTGTGTCATATGTGGACCAGCACAAAGCCACATGCTGCAGTAACCACTCACTTGAAATACAGTGAGTGAGGTTGGGTGGGTGGGTGGGTGAAGGCTGGGTTTTCCGGAATTGCCATGCTATTACTATCAGCCAGTTTACGCAGCACACAAATCTGATTCTGATTCTTTCTTTCTTTCTTTTTTTAAGAGAAATACAATAAGGAGTGTTTTTCCAAACAACTTGAAAGTTGCTGCAGGTTTACAGGGCTGAAAACTTTAATACCTATACTAGTGCAAAAAGTGAGGAATGTAAAAGACTGATTTTTAACTTGTGGGGAGGGTGGGAGTGGAACTATTAAACAGTAATACATTTCAGACTTGCTCTGGAGAATTATATTGGGATCAAAAGCTGGTGTACAAATGACCTATTTCTAAGATATAGTCTTACTGAGTACTGTTGAACTTTAGAGTGCAGTTATAGTGAAGTATTTTTTTCTGGGTTTTTTTGTAACTTTTTGCTCACAAATAATAATATTTAATTGATAGCAATTTTTTGCTGGTAGAACACTGTTTACCTCACTACTGAAACTTTATTTTGTTACTTTGTTAGTGAAACACAATAATTTTAAAAAAGAAGAAATGGAAAAGGGCACAGTCTTGCACTACAACCTTTGCAAACTATATCCTTATAAGATTTAGTGCTTTCCACTTTGGAAAGTTGTAGGACCTCAGTTGTGCCTGTTGCACTCCAGTGTTGCAGGGCCAGATGTTGCTCTTGTTTACGCTACCATAAACCCAGAGGGGTGCCTGTTGTCTTAGAAGGTAACACTGAAAGAGAAGTGACAACTAGTACCACGCAACAATGCTGTATTAATTCTGTTAGAAGAGACACTCCAGAATCTAGGAAGTTTTGACAAGAGTAAGCACATTTTAAGCCTCATTTAGTTCAAGAGAAGAGATTTGCCACGCAATTTTGTGCATGTCTACTGTGAAATAAGTCCCATTAAGTTCAGTAGGTCTTGCTCTTCAGTAACTGTGTTTAAAATTGCAGCCTTAAGCACATGCTCAACATGTCCACTGTATGTTAGCTTGATCATGGCATTCATTCTTAATAAGATAGGTCAATCATGTCACACTTACACAAAGTGTGTATTCTATGCATTTGTGCCATTGGGGATACAATTCAGAAATTGAAGTATCAGAATTCTGACACTGCTCAGAGGTTACAATCCAGAATAACATTTGGCTTGACTCATGCAAGCAATGGAACCACAACTCTGCCCCACTCCCCAAACAGTGGGAGCTGAGAGATGCTTCTAAGTTCATTCATATAATACTATAAACTATTTTCTCGTCAACTTCAAAAGTTTTGCAGAAAATCCAAAGGCTGCAATTCTCAAGTAATCCACCCTATTTTACAGTCTCCCAATTTTCCCTCTCAGCTACTTATTCCTTACAGGCAGCTATTCCCCACCCCGTTATGCTTTGTGCTTTTGTGTTGAGGGATTCTTCACATATTTTCAGGCAGAACAAAGGACTAGTGAGGGATAATCTTGAGTTGCTTGTGATCCTATTGGGGTGGCAGCATAGGGAACTTACCAGATAGTTTCCAACTGAACCCTTACTTGTGTGTTGTCCTCCCTTTGGCGTTAACTGAGATGCACTCCAGTCTAAACTTCTAGACCAAAGAAGACCAGTTTATGTACAAAAGTAAGAGGGAGGCAACTGACAAAAGGGGGAGATGTGTGTATTGTTTGCTTAGCTTGTGAGAAGCTGGTTCATTAGAGGTGATTATGAGTTTCGTTCATATGCTCTTTCGGGTGGAGTTTTTGGTGTGTTTGCAGCTCTGCCCTCTTAAATTTGCTTTCTGCATGTCTGTCCCTTTGGAAGTTAACAACTGGGAAGAGTGCAGGAGTGGCCAAACCACTCTAAGGAGCCTTTCCTTTCCATGGCCCAAGGCTGCCTGTTTCGCCAAGTAGCAGGGAACATCCTAATTCAGCCTTCACTAATCCAGTGCCATCCTCGCAACTGTCTTGACCTACACTCCCATCATCCTTGACTAGCTGCCACAGGCTGATGTTTGAAAGTTTAAAAATCTGGAGGGCATCAGGTTGGAGAGGGTTGCTAATTGTTCGGAGAGGCTGTCCTTGCCCTGGCCGTGTTTATAATAGTGAAATTCTAGTGTACCTTACTAAGGAACAAAATTCCATACGGTGAATCTAATGATGTTGTGAGGAGCAATCTTATTTTGATTTCGCTAACATTTCAGAGAGTGTTGGTTTTCTTTTAAAAATAAAAAATAAATGCAAGGTTCTTGTTGAAAGAGAAACTGAAAACATAATTTATAATGTATTCCTAAGGAGGATATCTACGGACGCGGGTGGCGCTGTGGGTTAAAGCCTCAGTGCCTAGGGCTTGCCGATCGAAAGGTTGGCGGTTCGAATCCCCGCGGCGGGGTGCGCTCCCGTCACTCGGTCCCAGCGCCTGCCAACCTAGCAGTTCGAAAGCACCCCCGGGTGCAAGTAGATAAATAGGGACCGCTTACTAGCGGGAAGGTAAACGGCGTTCCGTGTGCTGCGCTGGCTCGCCAGAGCAGTGATGTCACGCTGGCCACGTGACCCGGAAGTGTCTGCGGACAGCGCTGGCCCCCGGCCTATAGAGTGAGATGGGCGCACAACCCTAGAGTCTGTCAAGACTGGCCCGTATGGGCAGGGGTACCTTTACCTTTACCTTTTTAAGGAGGATATCTTAGTCTTCTTGCTTGTGAGCTGCTGCACAGGAAATATTTAGGGTGAGATGCTGCTATGTATTGCATTGTTAAAGCACACTTAATTGCAGAATACAGTCACTCAAACCAGCTTTGACAAAAAGCTGTTGGGTACATGTAGTTGAACAGAGGGGCAGCATCTGATTGGGAAGTGACTAGTAATGAGTTGCATACACGGGCACTATGTTGACAGTCACTGCAGAGCAATTAAGTCAGTGCAATTTTAGGTACCTAATATTTGGTTTTGAGCTTTTCTAGAAGAACTTGCAGCTGATGAGTTAGTACAGTAGGACTAACTGGTCTCATTTGCCAGCCTTGGGACCCTACAGTTAGCTACACAAGGAAAAGCTTCTCTGTCTACCATCATGGCCATGTCTGTAGAATCATTTTGCCAACTTGGATCTTGGAGCTAAACTAGATGTTGTGACAGCAGACCTGTGTGTTGGAATTGGATTGCTGCCTCATAAAGCAGTGTTGTAGCAGCAACTTAAAGCTGGTGGGAGTGAGGGCGGGAAGTAACCTGCCCCCACCTTTTCTCCCCTCTATCAACTCTCTCTTTCTCTCTCTCTCTCTCTCTCTCTCTCTCTCTGTATTTCTCCTAGGGAGAAGCAATTTCAAGGAGAAAGGCATTGGAAAAGGGGTCGGTTTTCTACTTGTGGCACTACCATTTCTAGTTTTGGTCCTTTAAGACTAGGGTGCAGGTTCTGTTTATTCCACTGGACCCTGCACAGAATAATATCCACTCCTTGGTTTTGAGTTTAGCATATGTTGCCTGCACTACCAATGATGGCTTGATCTGTGGCTTTGGTTGCATAGCAACTATTTATGCTTCATTTTGATTGTGAAGTAAGCCTTAGTTAGCATCGTGCAATAGGTGTGCTTCTGGATGTAAATCAAAACTACTTGTTTATCTTATGCAAACTCTGCTTTATGTTCAGTTTAGAAAGAGCAATCAAAGCCTGTTGAAAATCTGATTGGAATCACCTCTGAGATCCTGGTTTAAAATACAGTTATAATCAATTTTATCGTCACAATTTTTAAGTGACGATAAAATTAAGTGGAGAGAATATGAGCCACATTCTGCAAAGAATGGGGTGTATATCAGAATCCTTAAAGAGACAGCCAGTGGTAGAAATAGGAATATTTATTTGTTACCGTTTCTGTCCTCAATACTTTTGTCAGTATAAAGCTTCTGAAAGCATGGAGCCTACATTTGTTGCACATAATGCAGTTTGCAATAACTAAAATAAGTGCCAAGAGTTCTCTTTCTACGCAGGTATTCTGGATCTCATCCGTTAGAGCACAGGGCTGTTTAAGACCTTGAGCTGCAAAAAGAATGGTGGAATTCTTTAGTAAAGAAACTTTGCACATCTTAGAACTGTTCAAATCAAAGTTCTGCAGGGTCTGATTATTTTGTCTTAATTTATACTCCAAAACTGCCTCAGAAAACATCGCTGCCTGTAGGGCATATGGGCACGCTACTGCCCCATTGGTATTCTAGTGCCATGCATTTAAATAGTAAATGGCAGCTGACCATTTTTATTTTTAACTTCGTATAAATATTGTAAAGTGTGAACTTGATCCATTCCCTGGGGTGTATTTGGACTCGTGGGAAGGCATCATCATAGGTCTCATTGCAGCCTGCTTCTCTCCATCTCCTTTCCATGTGCTCTGCAGCATGCCAGCAATTGCTCTTAACGAGAGCCTGTTACTCACAATGAGTATTTCATGGCCAGGGCCCTTAGAAGAAGAGAGACGTGGCTGGATGTGTATGTGAGAGCTGCATACAGGACTCTCATTGCAAGTTATGGCTGAGAGCAGCAGTCCACATACCCCAAGGAAGAGTGAAAAAGAAGAGAGTCCTTTGTTGATCCCCATGTCAGTCCCCTCCTGAATCTGCAGCTCTTTCCACTGGGCAACAGATCATGTCTAGTGCAATTTATTTTAACTGATTTTGCTTACAGAAGGAAAGTTGCACATCTCAGGTTCTGTAACCCTAAATGTGAGTTACCATAATGGGACAAGAAGTACTGATCAACTATGAGATTCATGGACCTCATGATAGTATACATCATTGTGCTTCTCCCCTAGCCTGATTGTTAGACATTAAAAATGCTTCCGAAGCGTTCTGGCATATTTGGAGATGGGGTCGTGTCTTGTTTTTATTTATTTTATTTATTTATTGGCCTTGGTTTTCCACTGCAATATCAGTGGGAGCAGAAATGAGGAACTGAAAAGAACTGCAATTTGTTCTTAATCCTAAATTAAGGAACTGAAAAGAACTGCAATTTGTTCTTAATCCTAAATTAGCCTGTTATTAACTTGTTAACATTATGAAATTGACAACATTTAAAATAGTTTTGAGGTATTTTTCTTCTAAAGAAGCCTCAATAGTAAACAGGAAGTTAGGATTTTTAACTGTTACTTAAC